TGGCTCCCGGCTCTGTTTTGCGGGCGGCAGCTCTTCCCCAGACCCCGCAGCTGGGCGAATCCTCCTGCGGTGATTTATCCTTTTGGGTGAAAATGGAGCTGAATCCAGCAAACCTGCAAAATTCAGTCTGTCTGGAAGAAGCTGTTCAACACTGAACCTTCTGACCACTGAGGGGAGATGGAGAAAACCCTCTGAAGCTCCTGGAGACACTGCCGGCAGAAGGGGCTGGGGGGGGAGCATGATGAGCCCAAGGAAGGGGAACGATCCCCAACCCCACTGCGATGGAGCCAAGGCGCAGGGATGTGACCAAGGGCACAGGAGCCACCTGTGGCAGAGGAGACGGGCTTCAGCCACTGGCTACCCCCCCAGGTCTCCTCAGCGTGAGCACTGGGGATGGGGGGGCCACCGCCGCTGGCTTCCAACCGCAGCCTTGAGCTGCACAGGAATACATCTTTCTACCTTTAATAAGCTTTCTCCCTTTAAAAATAATCATTACCAATAAACAAATCTACCAGCCAGTGTATATAAGCATCAAATTAAGTAGCTACATGCATTTGTTGTATGTGATATCACCTTGTTAACTGGAAATTCCTGGGTTTGGAAGGTGTATTGATTTCAGCAAACATATATTATTTTACTGTAAGTACCAGCAGCCATTGTAGTTAATATACAACAGTTTAATTTAAAATGCATTAGTTTAATAAAAATGCATAAAATAGAAGAGAATTGCATTAGCTTCAATAAAAAATTCAATTTCATAAATATTATCCAGTGTTAAAATGCATCGATTTCCCGGGAAAATGTATTGGTCAAAGGTAATTTACATTGGTTTGAATGGGAATGTACCGGCGTGTATACATATGTATTAATTTAGTCAAATGCATCTGATAGCAGCAAAAAATATCGGTTGGAGCAAAAGATATTCATAAGAAAACCACAACGGTGTGGAGCGAGCAGCTGCACGGGCTGGCTCTGGAGCACCCCAGCATGCTGACGCAGCCGCGCACCCCCAAACCCGCTCTGCCGGGGTCCAGCCTGGGGACCACCCGTGGGCGTGGGGGCCCCGGGACCCCGTTATCGGCCGCGGGCAGGACGTGGCTGGGGCGCTGGCACGCGTGTCGCTCCGACAGAGCACACGCCCGACGGAGCACACGCCTGGAACAGAGCAGGGGTTAATCAAATCCTTTTTACTCCCATTTTTTATCGAGCTCAAGAGGGGCCGTCCTATTAATTAGAAAGGCTTTTTCATGTAAAACACAGGCTCTCTTGCAGATAAGAAGGGACGATGCTTGGTTTTGCCATGGCACGGAT